CTCAAAGAGTATGAGATTTCGGACGCAGCCCAAATGATTAAGCAGTTATGAGATCCTTTGCAGAACCTGCATGTAATGGGTGCAAACAGTGAATCACATTCACAATAATATGGCTGTGATTCCAAACTTCTGAAGTCATCCGACTGTACTGAACGTTTCTCAAGGCCGACTGTGAGAGTCATATAACGCTGTCCGGACTTGCCTGCGTGCTACGGTGTGATAAGAACGGCCTCTCAAATTATTCAGTGACACCACCACAATCAATTTTCAAGTCTTTCTAGAGCAAAATCTGTAGGGCATTTACATTTCGAATTATCCGGCCCAACTGAAAGCATGACTAATTTGCAGAAAACGGTCAAATGTTGGCTGAGCCACATTTATATAATTCCTCTCTGCTTGGGTCCTATATTTAAAAAACGCAGTTCATTTGTGGAAGTTATTCTATGAAGCGTGAATGTCAGCGGGCCATCCAAAAGAGTAAACAAGTCTTAGGCAGACTCCTGTCATATTAACCAGTAGAAAAAGGAGCAAAAGAGATAGTAAGGTGATCCTCCATTGGATCTCCCATGATGTCATCCTTGCAAACAGGAGGTGGATTATTGGGAACGGAGCAGAGAGGGAACTGAGGTCACCGTCACTCCCTTCCTGTGTCTGCCGAGAACCCATGTCCTATTCCTGAACAAGAGGCGAGGGAGCAAAGAAGGCCAGGCAGTTTTATTGTGGGACCACTTGAGTCACACTCTCTAAATGTATGCACTTGCGAAAGAAAGAACAGAGGGATGTGTGTGTCTTTCAACAGCAGCTGTGGGTAGAGCAGGCCTTGCGTCCATTTCCTCCCTCTCTTTCCCCCTCCTTTTACAGACACTTGGCTGCTTTAGGAGCCATGACACATTGGCCATCTAAAAAGCATTCCTCCACGCATCCAGAAGTCACCCCTGCCAAGTCCAGCAGCAGCAGCCCAACTCACAACAGTTCATTATTCTTTGGGAGGCAGCTGAAGGAACTGCGTGGTTTTTTTCACTCCTACACTGCAGAATGTCCCGGCTAATTTTCTTATTGGCGTATCCATCAGTTTAACTGATAGCTAAAAGAGCTTTTAATAAGTAGCTTTGAGGATCAAGAGAAATAAATGCAGGAAATAAAAATTGATTGAAGCCTTTACATTACAAATAGCACATTATCAGCAGCATCATTTCAGTTAAAAGTTTAACTTTCAATGGAGTAAGATAAATAAATATCACATAATAAATGCCACAAGCTTACTTATTTGATTAGTGACCTAGAAATCTGAAATATTTCTCCATTTACATCAATTTAAGAACACGCTGATATTCAGTGTGGACTTTTGGACCCCACTTTAAGTCTTTGCTAGCATATGATTATCAGACATTTGGTTTTCCAATAGTCAAGAGCTTAATGTTAACATATAAGATGACTTGCATCTATAATATTCCTTGGTGAAGTGCTACCCTGTAAAACTTTTTTTTAATGGATAGGCTCATTATTTCTGCTATTTGGCAATGAATCTGAAAGGAAAGAAGAAAATATGTGTAGATGGAATTTATTATGCAGTGAACATTTCAAATAACTGAGAATAAACCTATTTGGAGCCATAACAAACCCTTTAATAGGATTTACCTTTAAAATAAGAAGATACCAAAGTGTTTATTTTAGGTTGATAAACTGAAACTGATGGAAGATTTTTAGTTGCCCTGCTACTGAACATTACAGATGGCACTAAAGCTAGTTTTTGCACGCGTATCCTGCCTGGCTTTGGGGCAATTATTCACTATTAACTTAATAAAGCAGAAGATCCGATATTTCTTGCTCTAAAGAGTGTTGACAGTCTCATTATACAGGTGTTAACATTCAGCTGGCAGGGTACAGAGATTCAGGATATGACAGAACTATCTAGGTATATATTCATGTTCCAACACAGAACTAGGCCTAATGTTTCAAGAGAAAGTGACTGCTTCAGCCTTTGAAAGGAAGTTTACTCTTTTTCACCCATCCAATAGGTTCATTCATAATGAAGAATTAAAAACAGTAAACCTGAATAGGAAAACAAAGTTCAGTCTTTTCAAGTCCTCAGAAATCTGAATGTTAAATTGCAACATGGCAAGTCAAGTGGCGAGTTTTCTATACGCATTTTGAGCTATCCGCGTGTAGGCCTATGTCTGCGCCGAAACGAACCATCATCTTCTGCGTGCATGTCTATGCCATTAAATGTCCGAGTGATTCTGGGTGTATGTACATGCCGTTAAATGTCTGAGCGAAATGAAGCAAAATGTAGATCTACATCTGGGGAGCGATATTTTTTTTCCTAGGATGGTAGGGGAAGACTAATACATGGTATTAACACAGTGACGGGGTTGGGGTAGGTCATATATTTATATATACAGTAAACGTTAGTCAACGGCGTTGATGAACACGCTGAAAAGCAATTATAGCACGGCAAAAATGGAATTACGAATTGGCGTGTCATTCATACGCCATTTCATGAGATCAGTCTCTAAATTGAGGCTTTTGGTAGGCTACATTTTGTTCCTCAGAGCGAAGCCATTACATTAGAGTAAAGCTAAATGTTACAGTGTTAGTTATTATGTACCATGTCAGTGTAGTACTATGCAATACTAACAAAAAGTACTTTGTATTTATCTGTTTATGTAAAGTATGGGCAATAAAACATTTATATACATAACAAATAAAAGTTCCTATAATATAATCATAGTAAATAAATAGTTCTTCAAACAAGCTTTCTGAAGCGTTCCGACATTTTGTTTAAATTAACTAAAATATTCAGCTGAATTGAAATAAAAATTGCGAGCCTTTTTCCCTAAGAACTTTACTTAAACTGGTTGACACAGGTCACATTTTATTCTATGATATAGGAGAGGCACTCCACTAAAGACATTGTACAAAGAGATTGTAACCTAGGCATTGAGAAAGGTCACATGTGACTGAAACGTTTGCCACTTTTTCTGTAAAAGTATTGGATTTTTGGTGGAGTGTGCGGACTCTTGAAGTGCCTCTCTAATGAATTCAATGGAATTCTTTGTGTACGCACCTCATATGGACTAATTTTAAGGCACGGTGAGTCCCTAGCTACTCTTCTATTCTATGATATAAAACACACCACTAATACCCTCTTGTGATCCTTTTTTAAAGCTTTTACTTGTCTTGTAAAAGGCAGTTGCTAACAAGTGTCTAAATGGACTATAGAGGTTGTCGGGGACATTAAATGTCATCGAACTCATCTACTCACTAGTCTGCTTTCACTGCCTCATTGTGTTTCTAGTCCTGCAAGATATTATACCTAAAAATGCTTTTAAACAAAGACCGAAAGAGTTGATGGAAAATTACTAATGGTGACATCGAAGTCACAAGACCATGGTGTAGCCGACGTTTAGCTTTTGACCTTTGCCGATTTTATTTATGCTTCGAAATTCTTAAGTTGTGTTCATTTGTGAAGATTATCATGATAAACAAAACGTAAGAATCATAAGCTTTTGTTACTCACAGAACTGGTTTTCTGCTATGATCCAAAAGCCAATGGAAAATACTATTGTGTTTTTGTCAGGGGAACCAGGGTTATGCTAAAATATTTCATCCCAACACCACACTATTGTGCAGTTTCTTTCAGCATGCCTGGTTTTACATTGGGCAACTGCCTTAAAGGGCCACTGAAGTGCCCTGGAATGCGCTGCTTTGTATATGTTGACTTCCACTGAAACAGGAAGCTAAGGCAGGGCATGTTGAATTGCTCCTCCCCATTTTCAAATAGCCAACAGCGTTTGGTGTACCTCACAGACTGCAAGTCGTACAGCACCATGGAAGCGAATCCGAGCGCTGATGATATGTTGGATTCAATTGTAGAGGAGTGAATACATTTTAGCCATTTCATTCTTAACCATCGCACTGTTGGAAAATGGAATAAAACTTGAGCGTTTGAGCAACCGAACACATAGATATCTCCTAGCCAAATTGCAACGTGATGTGTTAACAGTCGCTTTGGCCAGGTGGTATTTATATCATAGGGAGCGGGACTTTAGATTCTAGAGAGCATTTGATTGGACAGAAGATGTGATGAGAAGCTGAAGTTCACAGTGATGTCATAAAATTCAATGATCTATTTTAGGGCAAGTGAGAGACTAAGTTTTAGTTAAATTCTTATCCCTCCTAAATGCAAATTCTGTCATTGTTTTGCAACACATCAGCTTATTCATATTGATCCTAACCGCTAAAAAAACCCCTACATTTTGATTTCAGGGGGCCTTTAAAGTTGGCTGGAAATTAATTAATTTATTTTCTAAATTCATCTCGATGAGCTGTTGTGAAAAATTCATCCATGCATGTTTTTTTTTTTTATTTATGTTTTGACCTCGTCATTTTTAATCAAAATGTCATAATTCAATCTTCAGGTGAAAGGACAGATTTCTCAAATCTGCATATTAATCATCCGCCTCCATCCAATCAATATTTATGAACAGAGCCAAGTCCTGTCCTATACATTCTTTCTCTTTTTTAAATAATTTGTTGCCATTTCTTTTTAAACCAGACAGTTGACAGTAGCCATTGACTTCCATAGTATTTTGTTTTCTATATTATGGAAGTCAATTGCATTGCAACCGTCAACTGTTTGGTTAGCAACATTCAAAATATATTCTTTTGTGCTCAGCAGAAGAAAGAAACTCATACATGTGTAGAACAACTTAAGGGTGTGTAAATGATGACAAAATTTTCATTTTAGGTGAACTATCCCTTTAAGGAACCATCTATTTAATTATTACATGTTAGCAAAGTTCATTAAGGGTAATATGCCAATTCATTAGGGGTCTTCATGCATTTACCAGGGCTAAACCAGTTCAGGGCCTGGGTTACCAGGTTAATCCATAGTATATCTATCTAATGTAATGTCTAAAATGGACTGGCCTCAATCAGTCCCTGATACAGGCGGAGTCCCTACGTCCCTACAGTAAAGTTCGGACCAAAGCACTTACCCTGATGTCATTGCGTCGTACTTCCACGTCGCGCACCGCATGGCCATGGTTTGGCGCACATCTGGAGAAGCAGCAGTACTGGCAGACCGCCACCTGTTCCACATCGCAGTGATAGAGTCTGTATTCGTCATGGTGCGGGCAGCTCCAGGCCCGGACCTCCTCAGTCGCCACCAGTAGATGTCCAGGAGCAGGACAGGGCTGCTGGAGATGCGTCTGGATGTGAGACTGGCAACACGGTGCATTACAACGTAGACACACTTTCTGCGCTTGAAGAGGAGGCCCTCGCCTGCACAGAATGCAATGCAGAACGGCCGGCGCTTTTTCGACGTTCAGCGCATTGAATTTTTCCACAATATTATTGAGTTTGATGTTTTTCTCCAGGTTTGGTTTCTGGTTGTACGCGTGGTTGCACTCCGGGCAGCGCACATTGGCCGTGTCTTTGGCCCAGGCCTCGCTGATGCAGTCCCGGCAGAAGTTGTGTTTGCACGGCAGCTGTACGGGCTCCACGAACACATGCAAACAAATGGGGCAAATGAGTTCCTCCTCAAAGCAGTTCCGCCAGCTCTCGGCCATCTCAGCCATTTGATCAGACATCCTGTCTTGACTTGATCCGCTCGTGGAAAGCAAACATCAAGTTCTAGCACCGTCCTAACAACGTTTCGCTCATTCTCGGGACTCCTTCATTTATATCCAGATGTTAGGTCAGTTGATGAAGACCATGCGATTACAGAAGCCCCAGAGAAACAGCTGTTGATCAGACCCTAATATGCCAAGGGAGCGTTTCTGCTCCTGGCAAAGTTAGTCAGCAATCAAATACCACAACCGGGCGTGAGTAAATGACGTTTTTGGAATGAGAGAAACTTGCCCTTCTTTATCGACAAATGTTTATTTGTCAAACAAACTATAACTCTGGTATTATTTTAGAAAGTGCGAAAAAGGACTTCATTTAAAATGAGCCCAAATAGGAAAAATTAATGACTGGTGCTATGTTTAAAAACTTTATAAGTGATTACTTTTTTTGACAGACGAATAACTAATAACTAAGTGAAAGTATGAATAGTTTATTACCACAAACGTAATTATTTAATCTATGCAAAGTTGGTTTGTGGTCCAGATACTGGCACATTTATTTTCATCTTTATTTTGAGCCTTCTCTAATTTTTTAAGCTACATAAATGAACGACGTTTTCAGATACCCCGTAAATGGTATAATTTATCGTTAAAAACGATAACGATGGACGGGCAAAAGTGTTAAAAAAATAGATCAGTCTCTCTTTAATTATGGCAAACGCATGAAACACCAGACGGCTCACTGACAGATGCCTGACTATACGTTGAAGGTTAATAAACTACTAGGTTCAAGGCTTCAACATTGTCTAAAGTCCTATGCCATTTCAAATCCAAGTTAAAATGTCTAATCATCGGACGCATATAGTCTTTAGGTTTAAAACAGGAAAAGGGTGACGCCACAAGTTCTTGAAGCACTGAAAACGTCCTTTCGCACGCATTTACTGAAGTAGTCGATCACGCATTTGATTTGTGCTCGGGGCACATGACATTTGCCCTGCTGGAATTATATTAAAAAAGTAGACCTGAGCCTTTGTGCTGCGCGTGTAATACTATATCGATAGGATTTCTCTCCTCTACAACTATAAGGTAAAGCCAGAAACACCATCTATCTAATGGCGTGACGCGATTTTGAATGAACAAACAATTGACGCGTAACGTAATACTTGCATGCCAACATGCTCTCGTAGCATTAAACCCCAACGAGCAGCGATTTTATCTTTGTCAAATCTATTCTCTCGCTATCTGTGTTGGTTGAGCATTATAGAATGATCCATAACGCGATCCCTGTCCATGTTTCGCCTTATGTTTACCTGCTCGCACTTACCAGAGACGGATTGCATTCATTTCTAGAGCCTAATGTCATGTATTATATTTTGAAGAAGCTAACTCGCCTAAAATATTCATGTATCAAAGCCTACATCAATACCTTTGTTGCTCTTAAAGGAGACGATATCGTTTGGCCCTTGTTATCGCTTATCAGCCATCTTGTTTTTCTGTTTAACGCGAATTAAAAACGACGTATCTATTTACTTTTCCTCTCATTTGTATGCCCTTTATATAGACGCTTCACGTAAAGCGAAAAGATCCAGTTCAGCGATCATCCAGGGATATCACGTCCTTTAAAATGTTAATCCTGGTGGAAATCAGATGCTTTACCGCCGTATTCCAATCTGCGTCTGTTATTATTTATGATTTTTTTTCCTTTCAAGCAAATCCTAGATGAGAGGAATGCAGGCACAGGACTGCAACTCAGGATACAGTTCACATACTCCCCCTTCCCCCGGTCACGTGACCAGCGCGGACTTGACACATAAAAATGGGAGGGGTTAATATACGGAGGCGGGGCTTGATTTAAAGGGGCATTCTTCTATTAATCTATTTGATTTATTTATTTTTGTTCATTTTTTGTGATCTGTCCGAAATTCTGTTTCTCTGCGGTAAATTAATCACTTTTTTTATTTAGCAGTTTACCCTTAAAAAAAACAATGTTTTTGTTAGACATAATAACATAATCAATCCTTAATGTTAGTTAATGTTAACCACAGGCCTTGAGTGCTATCTGTCAGGTGTCTATAATTTTAAGCAGCAATAAACCACACGAGGCAGGAATAACGAACTTCATCCATCTTATTTACTCTTTCACTTCTGTCATTACATCATTACACAACACTTCAAAATAGTAGTCACAACATAATTTACTCATATGTTCACCATGAAAATAACACCTTATTTTACTCGAATAATGAAAATAAAATAAACATTTAAACTGGATCCCATGACTTCAACGTATTAATTCTGGGTTTTATGACTGAACAGCTCTGTTTGAATCTGCAATCCTGTTAGGACTATTAGGTCATCCAACACCAGAGATTGCTGAGTATCCTGAAGTCAAAGATGAAATGTAGGGGTGACCTCGTCTTTTTGGTTGCTGCCCATAGACTCTCGAATGCCCAACGCATTTCTATTAAATCCGCTTCATCTTCGGCCATTTTTAAATCCAAGCTAAAAAAGTATCTTTGATTTGGCATATAATCAGTGATACAATTTCATTGCACTGTATTTTATTGATGTTGTTGTTCTGTTAAGCCTGTTATGTAATGCTTTCTTCTTATTGTGCAGCACATTGGTCAACATTGGTTGTGTTCAGTAGTGCTATACAAATAAAATTGACATTGACATCTCAACAGCCCACTAGAGTGCTGTTTATTATATCACATGCAAAAAGGGCATTTACATGTGCATCTTGAAGGGACAGCATCAAAATACAGGGCATACAATTCTAAAGGTCAGAGACAGGCTTGCCTCTCCATGAGGAATTTTGGTGCCTTGGTCACAAAATGTTTTTACTTAGATGTGAATCATGAGTTGTCATCATAAAAAAGTATATAATTACCGGTAAATGGGAAATAGGTATTCTTTGCACAAACAGTCAGACTTGTGTAATAAAAATGAACGCAAACAGCCCGATTTTCTGTAAGTTTAATGCACTTAAGGGTAACAAAACCACAGGCAGTGTAGTGATTCTCCAGAATATAAAAAACACCAGTACACTCTAATTAAATTCCTCTTTTAAAAAGCACAAATAAAGGTTCTTTTTTTACACCTTTGACCTATATTATTGAGCACATTTCCCAAAATTTAAAAATCACAAAAGCACATTCTAGAAAATTGATTGCCATTCAGGAACCAGTTTGTTTGCTTCCCTATAAAGACATGGAATGCAATCATAAAGTCAAAGGAAAAGTAAAATAGTTAAAAATAACAATAAAATAAAACCAAGATCAGGGAACTAATTTATGATTCTCAACTTTACATAAGACAGTTTAAAAACACCCATATTGTGCAGGCTTTGGTATTGTGTAGGTGAACTGACTAACCACTTATGACTACAACTTAATTAAGACCTTAAGATCATCAACCTTAAATAGACACTACTGTATCTTATATATTTAAATTGAGTAAAACCAGATACTCAGACATAACAGAATGTTTTAGATAAACATGGTAAAAAAGGCCTTTTCCTTAATATGCTTTCCTTCACATTACAAACAGGATTTAGAAGAGCGGACTTTCTCAAAATGACACTTCAGTCCATTCAAAGGTGAATAAAGGCACCAGTGCTTGCACATTGTCTAGTGCTGCAGAATAAGAAATGTAATGTGTCTTTTGAAACAAACCAGAAAAACAATCGCTATTTTTTTAAGCTTCCTTATGAGTAAATAGGTAGACCAATACAAAGACAAGTGGTATAACGGACAAAATGTACAAAATGTTGTACATTTACAATGCTCTCTGGGAAGGGGGGAAGCATCTGAAAGTCTGTTTCCTTCAGCCGTCTATAGGCACATGCGTCTGGCAAAAGAGTTGGTCTCCTTTCTGGAGATGTGGGTTTGTAATCGGGGACAGTGAGCTCCCAGTCTTATTGCAGTGGGCTGTCAAACGCCGTGTCAGGCAGGACGGAGATCTTTAACTTCTTATCGGGCCAGCTGTACTCCTTCGGCAGCTTAGACTGGGTAAGGGGTAAAGAGATAGACAGCGTGTTAAAATAATCTAAAGTTTACAAAATCACTTAACGTGAGGTGTACGTAGAACCTTACCATTTCACGGGTGCACAAATCCTGAATGTCAGCT